TTGTTGTTGTTTTTGTTGTTGTTGTTGTTGTTGTTGAAAAGTGGAAGGGGGGGGTGGGGAGCTGTTTGTCTTCTTTCTTTTTTTTAGAGAGGGGGAAGAGTGGCTCTAGTTCATCCGGGGAAAGAGAAAAACTCCATTTCCAAAACGTTTTGGTATGTTTGTAACAATACAAAAAGCAAACAAATCTGCAGCGCAGATACAGCAAAGAATTTGGGGAGTTTTCTGGTAAGAACAATGACGCTAAGCAGCTCTCGGTTACTTTTATCTCTGGACTGATTTTACTGTTTTTAAAAGTACAACTTCACATTGAAATACTGTTCATTACAGTGTTAACGTTTTCTGCTTTCAGTTTTATTAACTTTAAAGTTTTTATGAGAAGGGTTATAAGAATGCAGAAAACAAGATTGCCATTATATCAGACATCTCATTGGAAACCAACTGGAAAAAGAGTAAGACGAAGATTAACGGGAAGCTATAGAGGCACAATAAGAGATGAGGCAATCGCCCAGGGCCTGGGTTTGCCGAAATTGGAGGACGTGGCCAGGGACAGACAAGCGTGGTGTCTACCGGTATAGGGAGAGAGTAAGTAAGTAAGTGTTGACACCTTTAACGACTTCTTCATGAAGGTCTTTATAAACCGAAACGAACACTTTGCATACTTTAATAACTCCAAAAAAGATCCCTATAGAAAAGGGGGTTTTGATAACTTTCAACCTTTTCGTAAAACGAGCACGAAACAGCACCGCAAAAAAGCGCGAAAGGATTAATACATTTTTGTTATCTTCTTCCCACGTGAGCAGCTTACCATTTTCTGAGAGAGTAAAATAAACAAGGCGTAGCCCACTATCCTAAGGAACCTCACAAATGCCGGATGAGTAAAAAACATGAGGAAAGGTATTGAAGGATTCGAATAACCTCAACGACAGCACCCAAAAAAGGAGCTACTACGTTCCGTTGTGTAAAGGTAGGAAGGGGGTTCTCGTGGCCTAGAGGTTAAGGTGTTGGCCTCTCATTCAAAGGTCCCGGGTTCGATTCCGGGTAGCGATCAAAAAATTTTCTTCTCTAAAATTGTCTCCTTTCAAATCCTTTCCTGATCTCTAACAATGTTCTGTTGTCTGCTTTCATTTCCACTTTCTGCCCCCACCCCCTCACCTCCTTTGCCCCCTCCTCTGGGCTCCTGACTCTTTCTGCAGCCTTTCTACTGCTACTCCTTGGCTCCTCCTAACTGCTGTCTTTCTGCCACACCCCTGATCTTCTAGTAGGAAAGATCTACACCTAGCCTTCTCGGACAAGGGCGAAAAATCTCGGAAGGCCCGTGTGCAAGTTGCGCACGTTAAAGATCCCTTGGTGGTCTAAAATCGATAAGAGTAGGCTTCGGCCGCCACCCGGGCAAAATTCAAAATGTCCTACCAACGAAAAAAGTATTAGGTGTGTCCTGCGCGCTCATATGACCTTATGCAGTTGCGAGCGCCGTAAAACCCGATACTAAACAAACAAACAAAACAAAAGGTAGGAAATGAGTTATGCTCTGTTATGTAATAGTAGATGTAGATTCTAGATCTAGATTCTAGTTCCACTCTAAGCACGTGGTTTCGATTTCCTGGTCTGAGAATCCAACGTTATCAAGTATCTCGTTCTTTCTATTTAGATGCACTGTATCGTAAATAATATGTATGTCGAGCAGGCCCTGACTGGTAGGATCAAAGCAGCCTGCCTTGTGAATGATCTAAAGAGAGTCAAAGGAGGATAGCAAGCATAATTCAACAATTATAATATGTGAGGCATGCTAACAAAATGAGTTACTTCTCGCAATCCATGAATGGAGATGTCAGCCAAAAATCAACACAAGGGTCATATTTGTAGACTCTAAACCAATGCCATTCTCTTCAAGTTTAACATGTCTTTTGTCATTTCATACTGATAAATTATAAAACTTCAACCTATAAATTTCATGTTTCTATTTCCATCGGTCTAAAATCTGAGAAGTAACTCATTTTGTCAGCACGCTTCACATATATAGTTTCTTCTGTTGACGGATTTTGAAAACCATACACGCAGCTGTAATCATGACTAGATATTTTTAGGCTTAGATCTATTACTACTTTCATAGACACACATTGGTTGTGAGTTCTACGCTATAATAATTATTCGGCTTTGTGGTTCCCGTTTATACTGATCGGGATGGAGAGCACAGCTCCTTTTATTTTAAGGGGTTGGCGTGGGGGTGGGGGGGGGGAGTGTGCAAGGGGCTGTGTTTGTTTGTTTTCTTTATTTTATGCGTGGCCAGCCAGAGTTAGTGGGGGGAGGGGGCTTCAAAATGAATGAATGCAGGCTCTTGATTGTGTCTTCACCGGCTCAAAAACATTTTTATCTAGGCACTGACACCTTTATGACCATTTAGTATTAAAAGCTTCAAGGAAAACAAGAGGTTGCTGGACTGAAACGATAGAGGAAGAGAAAGGTAAAATCACCCACAGGTTCCTTGGTGGTTTTTGAAAATTGAGATCTTAATAATTATACAATTATCATCATGATCATGATCATGATCATCATCATCATCATCATCATCATCATCATCATCATCATCATCATCATCATCCTCATCCTCATCCTCATCATCATCATCATCATCCTCATCATCATCATATCATCATCATCATCACCACCATCATCATCATCATGTCAGTGATAAAAATAATACTGTTTTTTATTCTAAAAGAACAAAAACATTTTCTACGGCCTGATCCTTTGAGCAAAACAAGAGCTTGAATCATTTGAACCATGAGCTGTCCGTCTCAGTATATAGTTATAATATTTAAAAATCGACTTTTCCTACAGACATTTTCATCCTGCTTTTTCAGAAACGTCAATAGCACGAGACCGCTACAACCCCGTCCTGTTCAACAGTGCTGTCAGCGCAGACGAGCATCAAGTCGTGGCACCGACGTAATTGCAGCCCAGAGAACACACGACTGTGCCGTTATATAAATTTAAAATGCCCTTGACGTCCTGTCTGTAGCTTGTAGAATCAAAATGACCAGGGTGGGAAAGAAGCAAGATGTGAAGAAAAGTACAGAAACCTCCTTGGAAACACCACGTCTTGGTCAAACAATTTCACCCTCTGCAGAGCCAAGAACTTCCAACGAAGTTCTCCATGTCTGTGGGAATTCGCCTTCAATACAGCTAAGCCCCGGGGGAGCAAAATTTCATGTTGCGGACTTGAAACAGCCGAAGGACTGCAAGGGCCCTCTCGCAAAGTCAACAGAAAAGTCTAGTCAAAAACAGCAGTCTCCTCTGATTGGCTGGTTAAAAAGACGCTCCGTCACCCGAAATAAGATGACTTCACAAAGGAATGACATGGAGCTGGGCCAAGGGGAAAAGACATTGAAAAACTCTAGGTCATTTCTTAGGGAGCGGTTCTTCACATTGTCTCAGAGAGACAAGCAAGCTTTCAGAGTCCAGATGTCCATCTTGTTTCCCTGTGTGTTCAAACGTCCATCTCTGAAGTTTGTTCAGCAAGCTTTGGGCGAGATGAAGGAACACATTGTCACCACTGTCGGTCACCTGAACCTTGTCAGAGAAAACCCAGCGTTGACGGAGTCCTTGGCTCAGCGCACCCTGTACAGGAAAGAGCTTATAAACGAACACGGGATGAAACCGTCAAAAGAGCTGGCACCTGGGCTGGTTCCGATATGCCAAAAGAATTCTAGTTCCCATATGATAGAGAGGAAAGCAAATTCTCCGACAAGGGCAAAGAAATCGTGTTATCAGATAAAATATAGAAATATGGGTGAAGATCACGTGCAGACCTGCGCGGATCAGAGTGAAAAGTTTGAGGAAAGTCAACAGGTGAGTTTTGATTCGTCTCATCGTAGATCTAAGGATGTAACACACACAGGAGATGATCCCATGAGCTCTTTTAGCAGTAAACAGCCTAATGCACCAAAGATAGAAAACACACAAAGAAACTGGCGGCATAACCTGATGGTTAACTCAGATTTGTATTCGGGTGGGGATAATCGTGAGCGATTGTGGTCTGTGCCCCAGACTGCTTTGAGTTCGGGCATTTCTCCGGTAAATCAGCCAGTCCGAGAAGGCATTAGGCAACTATACTGTCTCGAAAATTCACCCTCCATACCTGAATGGTTTTCTAATCTCTATGGAAAAGGCTGTGTCTTAGAATTGCAGCCGACAGTCCCGTCAGATCTGTCGATCCGATCTGATCAAGTGAAAAACTTCTTGAGAATTCCTCTCCGTCTGGTGATTCAGCCCGTCAATTGCCGACTTCTGAGTACAGATGAGGCCTCTATGAGATTCTACATCATAGTCACAGAGCAGGAGCAGCTCCCAACCACCCCTGAACCACGTGGTCTTCCGCCGACCCCAGTGCTGTCGTCAGACGGTATAGCTCTTTATCAGGTAAAAGACATTGGGGGGTTTGATGCCTGTAATGAGAAGATATATTCACGCACGCAGCTTCTGAGAAAACATGGCAACAAAAGCGAAGGGGATAATGGAAGCATTAGCGAGGATATCAGTCGAGATTCGGGGATTCCCGTGTCTTCTTCAGATACGTTCTTCCCTTCTGAGAGAAAGATTAGCTTTAGACACAGCTGGAAATGGTTTGATACTTCGAAGGGTGTAAAGAAATCGGGTGTAAAGTCCGGATGGAGCGTAAAAAGACTTAACCTACGACGTTTGCGCTCTCGTAGAAAGCAGTACACAAGGGGCCTGGTGATGGAAATACGGCACGGTATTTTGTTCGAGGGACCCGCCAGGTGTGTTCACGTTGGGCAGAATACAAGCTGGTGGCGGTGTTGGACATTGAAAACTGCGAAATCAAAGAACGTAGGTCTATCAAAGGCGACACGGACACAATGGTATGTCGTTCAATCCCCACCCCTCTGCTCCTCTGGAGAGCTCAAACCGGTGACTCCCATGATGCAGTATGATTTGGACAAAGCGTTTCCCCAGCCGTCTACCGATGGGCTACAGACTGAGCCTAAGGACCTGAAAAATATGATTAAAGGGAAACACAGTTTTGTAACTAAGTTATCTAAAACTCAAAATCACTCCTACCGTAATAGTTCAACATTAAAAGGTGGTGAGCAGAAGAGATTGCAAGACACCATATCAAAAGGTATTCCTTTAGGTATGAAAAATATCAAGTTGATAAAGAACCGGAGAAGAAGAAGCCAAGCTTGTTCCGGGGAAGGCATGTTGTCAGAACGAACCGACCTACGTGGTGGACAAAATCCCGCAAAAACTTATGAGGTTGGTATGGACAAAATGCCAGCACATACAAGTGAAATGTTCCCAAAGGCTGAGAAGTCAAGTACGAAAGAAAAGGGAACTGAAAAGTCTGTTGTGAGAAAAAGGAATCGAGCTGGTCACACAGGTAGAGTTGGAGATAAAGGTGTTTCACATCTCAATAAAAGCAATTCATCGTTGCCACAACAGAAAGGTGTCTCTGAACATGCAAATGCTCATGATGATGATCATAGTTTTGTAATGGATGCGCTCGATTGCATCTGTGAAGGAGCAGACAACTCGTCTGTGCAAACCTTAGACCGCGTCGGGAGAATTGAAAATGATGGAAAAATCGAAGAAAGAGATTCGTTGCCTAAAACTGAGAAGATCGAGAGATCAGCTAAAAAATGTGACCGAGTTAAGTTTTTTAATCCTCAAGATGATTCTTTACAAAAACTATGCAAGAAAAACGATGCTGCCTCTTTCCAAGACTCTACAGGAAACAAAAGCAATCCACGGGCATCGTCCTCGTCTTTATCCAATTACTCATCCTCCACCGCAACCTCTTTTCTAATGCGAAAACACAGGCGAGAAAGCAATGATATGGGGTACCAGGGGCACACCGAGAAGATTTCAAGCAACAAGCATTCGCTCTCTGAGTTTATAAAAGAACAATGGCGGATTATTAGTGAAGGTGACCCACAGAATGTGGTTACACCAAAGTATACACTGGACATCCCAGGAAAATCGGATGGTTTGTTTAAACTCCAGAAGCATCAACTGTCGCCAAAAAACCCACACAAACCAATGGAAAAACATTTACTGGACACTCAGAACGGATGTGAAGATCTAGAATCAGAATCTCAAGTGCAGCAATTGAATAAAGGGGACAGTAGTGAGGAGAGCTGCAAACATAGAAATGAGCAAGCATTCGTATCTGACAATACGGTTATCAGAGAGTATACCCGAGAGCTGATACAGAAGATTCTAGAAAGGAGGAGAGGGTGCCGTTCTCCAAGCTCAGAACAGAATATAAAAAGTCCAAAATCACATGTGTCGTTTTCTACAAAGGACACTGTCATAGAGGACAGAATTTGCACAAATTCGAAGAAGCATCCACGCCCTGGAAAGTGCCGACAGTCAGTTGCGTCGTCAGAATTTGAATTCGGTAACCCGATGAGTATCTTCAAGGCAGAACAAAGTCGGATTACTTGCCACAATACTGTTTCCACAGAGCTGCTTAACACAATTGATGTCAGATCGATTTCCACTTCAACAAAATCCAAACCTGATGAGATGTTCGAAGCTGGCATACAGGGAAATTTATCAAACAGGCAGCTGTGTGCACAAGAGAAGAACGGGGTCTACGAGTTGTTGTCACCACTATGGGAGCTCAATCAAACATGGTCAAATATGTCTCAGGAGGGAACTCACACCTCCTCTAGCCCGACTCCAGAAGAGGTTTTACCCTCACCACCTCGGCCCAAAAGAAAACGGTCCACAGACTCAGTAGAAGAGAAGAACGATTCGGAAGGGGAACCTGAACGATCTGGGGGCTCACAGAAGGATGATGAGGCTACGGCTGAGATGCCGAAGACACAGAAGAGCTTGGGAAAGGAAGAGAAAACATCCCCCTCCCGTCAGTCTATTTCTACACGCACAAGTTCTCGGCGTTCGTCCACGGATCCCGCTACCCAGCTCAAACAAAGGCTCGAGAAACTACCAGGAGGATCAAATGCCCCACAGCCTCATTCAAGAAGTTCCCGAACACGAGAAAATTCACACAGAGACCAAACTCCTAACCGCCCTCGAGATTTAAAGCGTTCTTGTCTGTCAGCAGATCTGCGAGAACTGGAAGGAATTATAGAGGCATGGCTTTTGTCTACTCTCTCAAAGAATAGCAAAAGACAAGGAAAGCCCGGCTCTCCTTGCTCTGAAGATGAAAACGGTCGAGGATCTGAGAGATCCGAAACTTCCACGAAAGCTGACAGTCAACTTCCGAGAAATGCTGCTCTCAGATCTAGAGCTAAAGGTGATCCCAAGTATGACAAAAGCTCCCAGAAGGATTCTCGACTAAGAGAATACAGTTCTGAAGAAGAGAAGGCGCTTTCTATAACTGAAAGTGACCATTTATCATTACACTGCTCTTGCAAGGAATCATATACAAGTTCCGAGGAAGGAAAAGTGTTGTCTAAAGCCAAACGTCACCCACGATCATTTCATTGTTCTTGCAAGAAAATCCGTGCCACGAACGAAGAGAAAAAAATAACGTCTAAAACCAAAGAAGTACCAAAACCGCACCAACCTCCTTGCAAAGAATCATGTACTGGTTCTGAAGACGAAACACTTGTGCCTAGGCATAAGAGCAGCTCAAAGTCTTTCCAATGATCCTGTGAGAAATCCCGGAGAAGAGGCAACGATGATACTGAGGAACAGACGGATCTGCAAAGAAAACAAAGAGTATTTGAAGACGCTCTGCTCGGCTATCGACTTGCACGAGCGGCGGCTTGCTTCCGCCATATTGACACAAAATACAACAAGGTCTGTTACCCTGAGACGGACTTTCTCATACGCTCTTCACTTCCCCACAGCTGGGAGACAAATGAAGAACAGCTCTTGGATGACACGTGGGTTGATGTTAGGGAAGTGAGACATCAATCTTCCTCTGAATTTACTCGGCAAAACGAATTCGAGCGCAGGAATGAATGCGGAAAGGAAACAAGGAGCTGGAGGGACAAACCCGCATTTACAGATGAACGTGACACCAAGTACCCGAGCGACAAGGAAAAAATACGGGTGTACCCTGGGTCTCATCCTATCCATCAGCTTAACGATATCGAGTGCTCGTCCGGTGCACAATCTGTAAGAAATCAATACCCATACCGTTATACGCAGTCGCCCCCGTGTGGGACACATCGCAAAGATGCAAGCATGTACACTGACCGACTGTATGACGAGAGAGTGCGACCTCATTCCTGTGACCCCCGTCCTCCTGGCTATTCCGCCTCAGTCTCGCCTGGCACGTCTTTTAACCATGAACATCGGGACTATTTAGATAAAGCAGACTCTGCCGATGATATAAAATCCTCAGATGCTCTTACATCTTCGCAGGCAGAGGCTCTGGCGTACATCAACTACATGTGCAGCTCCGGGCGTATGGATCCTAAAGCGGTTGCTGATTTCGGAAAAGGATTTGCGAGAAATCCTGACAGTAAGAAGTACGTCATGGATCCGCCCAAGCCAGAAAAAGCTAACCGAATCCTCGATACCGGAGAAGACCTCATTAGCCCAAATCGTTCTTGGTTTTCTGAAAAGGATCATCCAGCGCGAAATAATTGCAAACACAAATGCAGCTGCGAGAGGAATAATGAGGCGGAGCAAACAAACTATTTTCCTCCATTAAAAGATAAAAGTAAAGTAGTAAGTTCGAGGACAATTGAAATTTGTAAACCAGAAACGACAAACAAAGGCCTGCAGCTCAGCATGGAAGATTCTGAAAATTCAGATGCGCAAAACGTTGATGATAGCGAGGAACTAAAAGGCGAGGAGCCAAAAGTGGATCATGTATGTTGTTGCTGCTGTTGTTGTACTGACACACCTGTCACTGGCTGTTTGCCAGACAGTCGTACAAATGAGGAGGATTTCTTAACATGGCATCATTCTCAAAGGCAACCAAGTCGACCTCAGCAGCCAAAAGAATCCCAAAGAGCCAAACATGTACAAAGTGAAGAAGTACAGTGCAGTCTGAAGGAAGAAAGGAAAATTGCGGATTGCAACAACTATTCGCAAGTCATTGGCGTAAAATCAACGAAACAGAGACACAGACATTGTTCCAATAAGAAATGTCAGGTTGGCAGTCCGCTGAAGCTAAACACTACTTGTGTACCCAAGGACGACGGAAAAGCTTGCAAATTCAGTACTCAAAAAATGTGCACGTGCACGTGCAAACCTTTGAGTGAAATGGTCCTACACAATGACGCTTCCGCTGAAAAAATGTGGGGAGCTACTCCTGGACCACCCTGTGGGGGATCTTGCCGAGTGGTAAATGAGGAAACTGCCGGTCCTCACTCTAAGCGCGGCAACTATTACAATCGAGTTAACGATTTGACAACTGAACCTCAGAACTTTCCGTCGCACAATGTGAAAGATGCTCAAGGTGCTCATTGCTGCTGCTGCTGCTTCAATACAGTAGGTAGCTTTAACCGCCAAGTTTCTTCTCAGAAAACAGACAAAGAGAAGGGAAAAAGCGACAAAACTGGTAAGGATATTTCGAAAGCAATATCTTTAAGCCAAGACTCATTACTCGAACAGGGTTCTACTCTGGATGCCTGCTGTCTTGACATAGACTCTAGCCAGCTGGATCGCTCTCCGATTGTTCACATACGTTATCGGTCCCGCCCGGTACCGGTCTCAGCTAAAACGGCTGTAGATAAGCGAGTGCCTGACCCTACCAAGCCTACCTGCAACATTAATGGAAGCGGCGCTACCTCAAGTGAGATGAGGGCTTCTCTCAAAAAGCACATTGCAGAGATACTTCAGCAAACAAGAGAGATTCAGAGAACGGCAAATGAAATCCGTGGAGGACGAGGACATTGCAAAGAAAAACCTTTCACTTCGAGAAAACCGGAGGACATTTTTCCATGTGATCATGGTCAGAGTACTAATCAAAATGGCAATGCCAACAGTTTGGAGGGTGACACATCGGAAGACGAAGGCAACACATTAAATCCGGAATGTCAGTTAACTAAATCACAACCAAGAGCGACAGCTATACTTTATAAAGAACAAGGGACCTCGAAGAAAGAACTGCGAGGTACACTGAGTTACTGTCAGGATCAGAACACAACAGGAAGAACAGTACTGAAGAATGTTTTGACTTGCAAGTCGCAGCTACCAGGGCACTCTAGGTGCAGCCCTGTAAACGTGTCCATGAAAAATGGCGATAGACGGAATGAAAAGGTAGCTTTAGATGAAAATCCATCTGCCATAACAGCCGACGCTGCGAAAAACATCGAAAGACTTTCAAATTACAACAATAAATCTTCAAACCCACATTCCTTTTCAACAAATAATAGGTCTCGTAGTTTTGCTTTAACGCGTAAATCGTCCTCCAAATGCCAGCGCAAAGCTATGGTATCTATTTTGGACCCATATGAAGAGACACTGCAATATCTACGTAAACACGAAGAGGAGCTCTCAAAGCCCCATGAGTCAAAACGATCATTTCTGAGTCACCCACAAACCTCTCATGTCGAAGCTCTTGAATTAAAAGAAACTAAAGTTATGACTCCTGCTTCAAGTATACGAAAGAAGAAGTCATTAACCTCGGATATTACATGCACTATTGTTCCGTTTGGAAATATAAGAAATTCAAGTGTTCCAAAAGAGCAGGGACAATGGACGGGAGGTGATAAGGTTATGGATGTTAGGCAAACCGAAATACAGGTTCGGGGAAACAATCTTTTACTCCGTAACCCAGAACTTTTCAAAGAAGGGCTCAACGACATTGGCTCTGTGAAGTTTCCCCCTTTGTTTAGTGCCGTTGAGCAACCGTTGCTATCCCAGCTCAGGGGGCCCATCTACCACAGCGGAACTGAGAACGCCACTGACCTTGATGACGGTGTCTCACTCATTGTCAACGACAGCAAGGCGTCCAGTCACGGCATCGAGGAAATACCGCTTGACACGGTGTCTTCTGATAAATCAGTCGATGCGGCATTGGCTCAAATACAAACTAATACGTCTAGGCCAACGACACAGCATTCAGTTCAAGGCCAAACTGAGAGCAAAATTGCGAGAAAATGTTTTAGATGCTTACATGGAATATCAACACTGACTGTGAGAGAATCAAATTCTCCCAAAACAGGGGGGTCTCCTCTTTGGACAAGCATCAGCTCCAGAGACAGTGAGCTTGCAGATTGTGAAACTCTTCCAGTAGCGGACGCACATGTGAATGTGAAAGGTTGCAAGTTCAGCGCCTCAGCTAGCATACCCGTGAGCAGGAGAGAAGAGAAAAAGCGAACCGCATCAAGCGAAACCAGCGACACATCGAGTAACCAAGGATCAAGATTTGCTAACGCCAGTCCCACACGGAGTCCCAGTAGCCTCATCTCTCAGGACAGAGTCCTGACGCCGTCCATACTGAGAGTTAAAGCTTGTGAACAACAGGTTCCCGGGAGAATGACAGATGTAACAAGAGTGGCAGATACAACAGCAGAGGTCGATACAACAAGTGTTGCTGATGTTGCAAATCAAGTGTTTGGTACCACAAGAGTGACAGACGCATCTAACATGGTAACTGCAAGAATGAAAGATAAAACAAAGGTGCCAGATGCAATAGAAGTGTCGTGTGCGGAAGGAGGAGTTGGTGTCTCAAAAGTGGCAAATACACAAAGAGTGGTTACTGTAACGGCACCCAATGAAATGAAACACATACCTGAGTCCAAGAAAGATTACCTTTTTCGACCAGTTTCAATCGATATATGGACCTCTACAGATTGTCCGAAGCAACGAAAACAGTTGCCCGAGCTTACAGAAGGCAATGACATTGGCTCTGGGGACAAACAACATAAAGTAAACAATATGTTGCAGGACGAAGTAAGCAAAACTGAAATATCCATAAACAGAAAAACAGACGGAACTCAAAGAATGGTTAGCCTTGGAGTCGCATCGGCTGAACATCACCGTCCCTTTGTTTTAGAGAAACATGTTTCGGGTGACGCAAGGCAGAATCGGCCAATAGCGCTTAGCACGAATGAACGACAAAATCAGAGTCTGGAGGGGGTTTCATCTCTTCGTGACAAGTTGTCTCTCCCATCGGTCCGACGCCCTCTCCCGTCACTGCAATCTCAACACAGAGGCGAAAACATTACAGTCACAGTTGACAGTTCAGTGTGCAATGAGCGATGCGTACAACAGGCAGCAGTTTTACGAGGGATCAACATAAACGAATGCGACGTGACTATTCTAGCGTCTCGGAAGATGAAAGATAATGATGTTTCCACCTCCAGTTCAACGCAAGGTATCTTTGATGCAAATTCCACCAAATCTTTGGTGCGAGGTAAATCTCTTGGAAGGCATAAACCTACCAGAAATAGCGCAGTCAAGACTTTCTCTAAAAGACAATTGCCAACTCCGTCGAAGATTTCAAGCGACGTGAGCCAGTGCCATCTGTCTTCACCAGCTAGACTCCAGAAAGAATTGACAACACAACCAAAGCTGCCTTCTCAGCTTTCTAACCATACTAACTCCCCTACTAAGTCCAAGGCGGCTTCCACAGAAATGCGAGAAGGGAGAAGCCTCGAAAAGGCAAAGTTTACTCTCTCAACAGACGCTAAAGTCGCTTTCGATCACACCAAACACTGGCATATATCCAAAGTCAGTGTTGGCCAGGTGACCAGTGCAAACGAGGGCCGTGTTGTCATCGATGGAGTGCACACTGAGTGCTTCAATCAGACGACAACGGGGGAGTCGGATCATCATCTTACGCTCGATGAGAAGAAAAAACCATCTTCCATTAGAGCAGAACAGGGGTTTCCTCAGAAAGTGGATACTTTTGGCTTCAGAATAATTTTGTTCAAAACAGAAAATTCTGAAAGCAGTCCGTCCCAGGTGTGTGGGAGTTACATGCGTCAGATGAACTCAGTAAACCGGTTCTTCAAATGGCGAGTGACTGGAGTTCAGGTGATCAACCAGTAAACGTTTCACTGAATACCTTTACGACTCCGGGGAATGCAGTGATGATCCTTCTCTATGGAGATTGTAGATACTTCCAATAACCCAGACCAGCGTCTGTGGTGGAACTATTACGGTCTTCGCAGATGCAAGCAAATGATAACGATGCCTATTCCCTCGTGCATGTCTCCGTATTTCTGCTTTGATACTGCATCCCACTCAACCGAGGCCGGCCCTTAAAGGCAGAGCCCTTAAAGGCAGAGTTTGAGCAGCCAGGGACTAAGTATTACTACTGAGACGAAGGTTACCAAAACATTTACAACCAACCAACTTTTATCGAATTCTTTGTTTTGAGCTCAACACCTTTTCTGTCCATAAAAGAATACATTTCAGAGTCTGTGGAGATTTTTTTTACTGAAAAACTTTGATCAAAGGCATAAAGAAGTACATAATTTATAGCTCACAAGGACACTGCAGTTTGAAAGTCTGGCCGCCATGTTCATGTTTATTTCTAACTCTGACACCAAGCGACTCCCACCTCCTTCAATTGCAAATATCTCGACTTCTATTCACGACAGATGGCTTTTTTCCCCTCAAAAGCAAGGCAAATGAACAAGCTTTAACGTTATGCCAATAATTCCATATGCCTGGAAACTGACCAGGACATGATTCAACCGTTTCCTGACATATTTGTGCCTCCAACTTTAGAGTGACTCAAAAACAATGTAGAAGGTCACCACAGACGCTATAGCAAGCGGCATTTTCTCCGATCTATTGTCAGCAAATTCGATGTTTCTTAGAAAAATTCACGCGCTCCTATTCAGCAATCTCAAGCTTGTCAAAAATTTGCTTGTACTTGTGTGTGTGTTCTACAGGGTTTCTTCGTCTATTTTTCCTTCTAACTCATATGCGTGGGACTGTGTAGTATAGGTTTAGTATATTTTTATTATCGCGCTCGAGTATACATATATACAATGTGAGTGTGTGCGTGCGCGCGATTGTGTGTGAGGGAGAGAGACAGACAGAGAGGGAGAGAGAGAAGGGGGGAAGAGAGAGAGAGGGGGGAAAAGAGAGAGAGCGAGAGAGAGAGAGAGAGAGAGAGAGAGAGAGAGAGAGAGAGAGAGAGAGAGAGAGAGAGAGAGCTGCTGTGGAGCCCCCCACTCCGCCCACCTAAGTGTTTCAGATCGGATCTGGGGGAGGGGGAACAAGGACAATCCCTTGCACCTGTTGGTTTGAGTTGAGACCAGTCCTTTCTCCTCTCCGACCGAACCACAACTACTACGCGTGTGTATCTGTTTGTGAGAGCGTAGTGTGCGTGTGTGTGTGTATGTGCGTGTGTATGTGTGTGTACGTGTGTGTGTGTGTGTGTGTGTGTGTGTGTGTGTGTGTGTGCGTGAGAGAGAGAGAGAGAGTGAGTGAGTATGTGTGTGTGTGTGTGTGTTTTGTGTGTGTGTGTG